CTCTCCATCCCCCCTCCCCATCCCGCGGGGCACCCCCTGGGCTGCTGCAGCTGCGATCTCACCGACACCCACAGCTCCGGGTGAGCAGCATTTCGGAGGCAGCCAGAGAGGATTTGTTCTGGTTGGAGTCACCCAGAAACCTCAGCACGAGCCCAACCAGGGGGCATCCCCAGACGGGAGAACCATGGATGGGGGGAGTGTTTTTGTGTTGTGCAGCAGCTGGGGGGGCTGAAGGCAGACGCTGGGGATGGTTTTTCTGGTGTGGTTGAGCTTGTGGTGGTGTTGTCCCCATCTCTGCTGCTCTGCGTTGGTGGTTTTTCACCTGACTGGCCCTGGGCGCGCTGGTGTCCTTGGGGAGCGCGACGTCGCGGCTACGGTTTGAGGGGGGTGGGAAACACGTCTGTTCAGCGGGTGTTGGAAGGGGATCTGGGGAAGTGTAACCAGGAGCAGCAGAGTCCTTCTTTACGAGCTGGCACGGAAGCACAGCGGTGCGGAGAGACACCAGTGCGCAGGGACCTGCGGAAGAGCCCTCGCTCCGGCCGGGGGGAGCAGTGCAGCGGGCAGGTTGCTGATGTCCTTTTTGTGTTTGGCTTCTGGTTAATTAAAGGCCAACTCCTTGCTACTGTGCCAACTTCCCGAGCTTTTGCAAATATCTGGGAGGGAATTAGGTGCTTGTCCAAACAAAGAATAAGCGTCAGGAGGTTGAGCTAGGCGGTGTGCCCTTTCTACGTGGCTTTGCCAGCGTGTCTCAAGCGGATATTTAGTGCCTGCAGGCTCGTTTCAGCTCGGGTCTGCCCGTGCCCTTCTGCTGTCACCCCAGTGCTCTCCCAGGGTAGGACTTCAAGCTGCTCTTGAGCTGGCGTTAGTGGGGAGTGTTGGGGTATACCCAAAATAAGGACAGAGAAATGAGTTCAACTCTTTTCCCTGCCCTGTGGAGGGCACGTGTTTACAGCAAAGAGGTTGCTCTCTGGTCCCTGCAGCCCTTTTCAGGTGATGACTCCGGAGAAGGAAAAAGCCAGACCGGTGGGGATGGATAGGGTGTCCAGCTCTAAGGGTTGGTACAAGCATCTTTGGATGAGAGACCAAACTTCATGTGAGAAACACAACCTTGTAAAGCAGTTTGAAAGTCCATCCTAGCGAGAGCGTGGTTGCACCAAACAGAAGGGTCTTCGCTTCCCCGCACGCCTTTGGCCCCCGTAAACAGCAAAGGTTTCCCTAAAGTGGAAGCTGCAGTGTGCAGGAACGATGTTTCCGCAGAGGAGAAACCTTCTTAAAGCCGGCTGGGGGTTTGGATTCCTTATTGTAACAACAAGCAGGCCAGCAGCCGAAGGAAGGCACCCAGCCTCCAGCCCCAGCACGGCGTGGACCCGGCTTTGACTCACCCGGCTGCAAGGATTGGATCTGCTGGGAGGTTTCCAAAGCACTGGCGTGCCCGGGTTGCGTGTTGCTCGGAGAACACCTGCGTTGCTGGCTTCCCTAATCCCCAGGTGGGAGACCAGGGTTTACGACAGCAAGAGCTGAAGCCACGGTGCTTGTCTTCAGATCCAGGCTTTTCCCCACAGGTCTGGGAGGGCTGGTTTCTGGATCCCAGCTTAAACTCCTTCATCCTTAGCTCGTAAGTGGGTAGGTGTGGATAGGCTCAACGGAAAGTACCTGCCTGCAGCAGGGTTTCTTTCCCGTGTGTGCTAGTGGAAGTGTGTAAGACCTGCAGCCCTCATGTTGCCTCTTCGGAGAGAGCTCTCCCCTCTGGGGAAGGAAGGCAGCTTTTGCAACGATTAGCCGGAGAGCTGGGCCTGCCTCGGGGAGTGAACATGCGGTGAAGGCTCCCACCTCTGCCCTGGCCAAGCGTGACCAGATGCCAGCAAGAAACAGCCCGGGTTCATGTGATGCTGAACCTTTAATGATGAGCCAGAGGAGGCAGGTCTGTGCCAGAGCCTATT